TGGCCAAAATGCTTCGTTTGACTTTTGGGAGATCATCTTCTCTTCCCTGTGGATTACCTCTGACCTACTTTCTGTACGATCTGAATTTCTGTGTATTGAATATTAAAATATTGAATTTTATGTTTCAATTTTCCTCTTCATCTTGAAAACTTGAAATTCGCTGTCTAAGATTTCAGAACCCAAAAAATCGCTGTTTGAAAATACATGTCTATAAAACTCTGCCATAAAACATTCAGTTGTGTTAAATTTCAAATGTTTAATATTCAAGTTAAAAAAAATCTAAATCAGAACTGTTAAATGCCACATAATATTCAGTTTTGTTAAATGACACTTGTCAATAATTCAAATTTACACAATACCAATTCAATTCGTTTTGTCATATTATAAGCTCCATAACAGAGCAGCATTTCATTGTGAACCCGAGATGCGTCTCAGTGCTGCCAGCTTTTGGTGGAAAAACGGAAGTGCAATCTTTCCTGCTAGAAAATCGAGGCATTAATTCCAGCACCCGATATTGTCATAAATGTCTTTTTACTGATGCATTGTCTGCATTACTGGAGAAACTACACTCATTCATTTGCAACAACACATACATTGAGAGTAGAATGAAAGATTCTCACGAATGAATGAAAGTCCCCCAAGGTCGTTACTGTGATCCATTAGGTGTCAGCTTTCTATGATTATTAGACAACTGACCATCTGCAGCTTAAACCTATTTTTGGTTTGTACTTGTGCTGCTGAAGGAGAGAGAGAGAGGATTACTTTAGAGGCCCTCCAGATCCTCCAGAGAGATAGTCATAAAGCAATCAATGATCTTATTTTTGACTCAAGGTCAATAACTATGAATGACCTTGAGCCGAATTAATTTAAAGTTGTTTGCAAGATATTCATTTTAAAATGTGTGCAAGATAATATTGACTTTTGTATCATACCAAAAATGTATTATATATACATACATATTTTAATGTGCTTTCATTATTTCATTCATAAAAAGCAGAAAGGCATATTTCTTTTATCTAAAAAATATATACAAATATATAAATCATGCTAATTTTCTTGTCTTGCTTCCTCAGAAGTTTTAGTATTTTATGCAGTATTTCCTGCTGCATGCTGCACAATACAGAGGAAATCTTTCATTTTGCGTCACATATTCATATTGGGTCCACAGGATAATGCATGTTTTCCTCAGCATGTTGGATGGCGCCTTGTGTACTGAATTTCATTCATAAAAGCTTTTCGAAAGAGGCCTTCTTTGTGACTGCCTGCTCTGTGGCTGATAGTAAAAGACAGACAAAAGACTGTTTCTCAGACACAGATTATGTCAAATCCAAGATTAAATTTCACTGTCCGTTATAGCAGTTTCTTCTTAGTCCATGCAGGCCTTGGTTTAATCTGTGTGTGGAAAACTGGCTCAAAAAGCATTTCTCATTTAAGCATCAACTTCACACACTTCTGGTTACTGTTAATAGGTTACAGTATGCCTTATTTAATATAATTTTAAATACAATTTGAAATATTTAAAATATTATTCTATACAAGTTAACATTTTAAATAAGAAAACAATGTAAAATATTTTTACAAATCTTAAAATAATGAAACAAATGCTGATATTTATTGAGTGTGCAATTTTGTACAAACCTGATCAATTTAGCAACATTCTTAATGCTGAATTCAGGTACTTTAATCTCACAGAAAGGAAAAGAATAGTAACTTGTCATTGCAAGTATTAAATTGTAAGTTGTTAATGAGTTAGTCAGTGATGCAGTTGTGAAATTATGACTAGACCTTTGTCATATGTTAATAATTCAGTCTCTCGCTGTCCATATTAAAATATAATGTATGTTAGAAAGGACTTGACAGTTAAAATATAAATGTGACATAAGTTACAAATTAGAAGAAATCTGGACAAATAAATGTCATTTAAGCTTTTCATAACAGCATGCATGTAATACAGTATGCACCTCTATTGCAAGACTGTGTGAGTGCACAAGATGTCTCCACTTATTCCATGCATTTAATGAAGTTGATGGCTGCAATTGTGTGTCTGTCTTCATGTGTGCTCGTGAAAAGAATGAGGGAGAAGGTGATCTGCTCTGTCATGAGACGCTCTGTAAAAAGGTCTGGTACGAGGAACAGATGGACATTATTTGAGAGACAGAACTGTAACTAAATGAGTGTAATGACAGGCCACGTGCTTCAGCAGAGCAAGAGTGACGTGAAACTATGGAGGAGGAGAAACGAAAGGACAGAGGTGGAACAGTGAGAACGATGGAAAGGCTGACCGTGACGGAAAGACATAAATCATGGTTGCAAAGTAAAGAGAGAGTATTACGGAGAAAAGAGAAACAGAATAGCAACAGGAAAGAATGTGATAGAGAAAAAGAGAAAGATGAACAACATGGGGAGAGAGGATGGGAATAATTTGCTGATGGATAGATTCTCAGCACATCCATTACACTGTTGCCTGTTTCTCAGACGTCACACATTTTCTCCAAGGACTCCTTGTGCGCTTTTCCATCATGAAAGGCAATTACAAAACACCCTAGTGGAAAAAGAGGCTGATTTTCCACAGTGTTAACCTCCTTTTTTCTTGTCACTGCCGTTACCAGTTGCCTAACAGCTGTAATGTACCGTACATAGAGTTAGTGGCTTAGGATTTTATTGTATTTATTATTTTGGGGAAAAAAACATATGATTAATTTTGAAATTGTTGTTTATACAGTTAAATAAAAGTATATACAGGTGCATCTCAATAAATTAGAATGTCATGGAAAAGTTCATTTATTTCAGTAATTCAACTCAAATTGTGAAACTCGTGTATTAAATAAATTCAATGCACACAGACTGAAGTAGTTTAAGTCTTTGGTTCTTTTAATTGTGATGATTTTGGATCACATTTAACAAAAACCCACCAATTCACTATCTCAACAAATTAGAATATGGTGACATGCCAATCAGCTAATCAACTCAAAACACCTGCAAAGGTTTCCTGAGCCTTCAAAATGGTCTCTCAGTTTGGTTCACTAGGCTACACAATCATGGGGAAGACTGCTGATCTGACAGTTGTCCAGAAGACAATCATTGACACCCTTCACAAGGAGGGTAAGCCACAAACATTCATTGCCAAAGAAGCTGACTGTTCACAGAGTGCTGTATCCAAGCATGTTAACAGAAAGTTGAGTGGAAGGAAAAAGTGTGGAAGAAGAAAAAAAAAAGCACAACCAACCGAGAGAACCGCAGCCTTATGAGGATTGTCAAGCCAAAGACTTAAACTACTTCAGTCTGTGTGCACTGAATTTATTTAATACACGAGTTAATCACAATTTGAGTTGAATTACTGAAATAAATGAACTTTTCCACGACATTATAATTTATTGAGATGCACCTGTATTTTTGTAGTAGTGTTAGATACAGAATTACATTATTAATGGATAAACAGATCATAGATAGAGAGATGCTTGACTTAAAACTAAGTTTAGCTAATTTAAGTTTTGTTAAATTTAGTTGAGTTGGATATTTAAGTTGTCAACAAATTTTATGTTGTTGTAACTAATTGCAGCAGCATTTTTACAGTGCATTTTTACAGTACTTTTCTACTAATATATTAAGCAACACAAGTTTTCAGCATTGATAAAAAAGCCATCCTTTTAATTGATTATATTACACATTAAATGCTTAAAACAATCAGTTTGAAGTACTTTTCATCTCAAACTTTCGATTCATAAATCATCCTGTACTCATGAGGCACGAGTACATGCTTCATGTTTCTGACATCAGCATCTGTTTAAGTAATGAGTTCACCGAGTTTGTTTCACTGTGCCTTGTTTCACTCAGGCACAATATAGTTGTACAATATCTTAAACCGATTTAATTTGTTGAACAAATAGTTTGTTTAAACAAAGCTGACAACTCCATTATGGCTAATACAACATCAATCACCAAAAAATTAAACAAGTCTTTCTTTATCGCCAGCATCTTTTTTCTTCTCTCCATCCTCTTTAGATATCATTATGGCTCTCTTTCCAAAAACAGCTGCTCCCAGTAATCCCGGAACTGCTTCACTGTCTCATGGCCCTCACAAAACTGCTTTAAATCTTCCCATAGAGTCTGATGCATATAAATATGAACCAAAACCAAGCCTTGAATCTCACTTCTCACACTGTTCAGGTGAGCTGTTAGTGCCTTCTTTGCTAAAGAAGTGTCCGTCCCGTACAGGTCGATATTAAAGCGTAGAGACCCCCCGTTAAAGGGAATAGGATAGGGAGGTGTGTGGAAGCTCATGAACAGGGGTTTCCCACTGGAACCATCTACAAACCACGTCAAGTTTCGCCTTGCCAAGATGTGAAGGTTACTCTCCATGAGCTTCAAGGGCTGCCAATCCTGGATGATGGCACCGCCTGGAAGCTGAAGTCTAGAAGACAAGTCTGAATCCATGAGAATGGTCTTAAGAGCATCCAAGTCCTTTACTTGCACTAAAGGACTGCTACTGTTAGACTCATCTGACACAAGCAGTTTTTCCTTCAGACCTGAGACAAAGCTATCAAAACCTTCAGAATCCCCCCATAGGGAGAGAATGGCCTGGTTTATAAAGACACAAAGAGAAAACAGATTTAAAAAAATTACTGTTAATTTTAGTGCTATTACTATTCATAGCTTTCATGTGATGTCACACCCTTATAGGAAAGCCCACCTGAAGGGCAAAACAAGGCTTTCCTCCACTGACCGCCAAGTATGCAGTAAATATAACAAAGTAAGATACTGATATTATAGGCCAAATTCAGTATATTGATTATGCATACTTTGTACAGGCAAGTGGATGAACCCTATATTCCCGGGGGGGAGTCGTGGCCTAATGGTTAGAGAGTCAGACTCGTAACCCAAAGGTTGCGGGTTCGAGTCTCGTACCAGCAGGGATTGTAGGCGGGGGGAGTGAATGTACAGCACTCTCTCCACCTTCAATACCATGACTGAAGTGCCCTTGAGCAAGGCACCGAACCCCCAACTGCTCCCCGGGCGCCGCAGCATAAATGGCTGCCCACTGCTCCGGGTGTGTGTTCACAGTGTGTGTGTGTTCACTGCTGTGTGTGTGCACTTAGGATGGGATAAATGCAGAGCACTAATTCCTAGTATGGGTCACCATACTTGGCCACATGTCACGTCACTTTCACGTCACATAAAATATGCATCATCAATAAGATGTGTACTGAATTAGATCTTTTAATATCATTATTTTACTACATTAAGGCACTTTAAGTCTTTTTCACATTAAACATTTTATAATGTCACGCTGTTTTTAATGATTGAAATATTGCGGCAGCTGCTTTATGTGGATTGCAAATGGCCAAAACTTGCATTTTGTTCACATGTCCTCATTTTATTCTTTTGAGAGGTGATCTAAATATTTGTGGATTGGAAGGAAAGATATGGAAAATTGACAGGCTTGTGCTGCAGTTCTTTGGATGTTTTTCCCTCCAGGTCTTCGACCCGGCCAGGTGACTGAAAACTATGAATTAGTGGTATGGATCAAAAGGTAGTGAGAGGAAGTGAAGAAAAAAAGAATTATTCATTTAAAACAACTATCAAAAATAATAAAGAGAGATACAAAATGCAGATTACAAAGTATTTTGATTAGCAAACATTTTTTAAATGAATAACTTACTTTTGCAGCTGATTTAGAACATATTAAAAAAAAGATATGATAAAGGTATGATGCTACAACACGTTTTCCGTTGCTTTTTTTTTACATTGCATTTGTTAATAAATTAGGTATCATAAACTATTTATTTAGTCTAGTGTTCATTTATAAGTACACTATTGTTCATTGTTTATTAATTTTTGTTCATGATACATTAAATAAAATCAATTTATAGAACTCACTTTTCCAGTTTTAACTCACCCGTCTGGCCAGAAGCGTGAACTTGCTCAGTTTTTCAGGCCCTGGGTCATCTCCTCTGGTGAGGCGCTTGGTCTTCACATTAGGGTAGACCCTCTTTATGTAGCCATCAACAAATCTCTGGATCACTCCAGCCAGACCACAACCCCTTTCGTTTGGACACACTCTTAATCCCTCAACTATTACAGTTTCACCTCCATCAACCAGCAGGCCTGACTCCAGAGCCACCTAAAGGCACACAGGAATAATTATCGCAAAGGTTGAAATAACTGGGAAAAACTGGTAAAGTACCAGTGTACTGAATTAGATCTTTATTTTATGATAGCGATCATAAAATAATAGGACAACAAATACCAGTTTGCAAAATCAAGCAGCATAACACTGTTTTTCGTACTGGAAGCTGCAGGAGTAACTAAAAACATTACCTCATGTTTCAAATCATGAGGAATCGATTTTCCTTCATCTTTGAGATTAAAAATATTAATATACTATTTATAAAGTACTGTTGGTTAATAATAAGAGTGAAAGTGGTCTGCTTTTCTTAATATTCAACATGCTAATTACAAAAACATGCTCCTAGTAGCTTAAAGGGTTAGTTCACCCCAAAATGAACATTCTGTCATTAATTACTCACCCTCATATCGTTTCAAACCCGTAAGATCTTCGTTCATCTACAGAACACAAATTAAGATATTTTTGATGAATTTGGAGAGCTCTCTGACCCTCCCATAGACAGCAACGCAATTGTAATATTCCCAGGTCCAGAAACGTAGTAAGGACATCGGTAAAACAGTCCATGTGACATCAGTGGCTTAACTTCCATTTTGCGAAGCTTCGAGAAAACTTTTTGTGCGCAAAGAAAAAACAAAGACTTTATTCAACCATTCTTCTCCCCCGAGTTACCGTCTTCCGCCATTTTAGAGAGTATCACAATGCATACGCACGCTTTCCCCTAAGCGTAAACAACGCTGATTACGCAGATTACGTTCATGCGTGCATTTTCCCCCCCGAATGTAAACAACGCTGATTACGTCGAATATGTTCTTGGATACTCTCCAAAATGGCAGAAGACTTAACTCGGTGGAGAAGAATTGTTTAATAAATTATGTTATTTTTGTTTTCTTTGCGTACAAAAAAGTGTTCTCGTAGCTTCGCAAAAAGTTGAGCCACTGATGTCACATGGACTGTTTTACCGATGTCCTTACTACGTTTCTGGACCTGGGAATATTACAGTTGCGTTGCTGTCTATGCAGGGTCTGAGAGCTCTCACATCTCATCAAAAATAACTTAATTTGTGTTCCGAAGATGAACGAAGATCTTACGGGTTTGAAACGACATGAGGGTGAGTAATTAATGACAGAATTTTCATTTTTGGGTGAACTATCCCTTTAATGGAGCTTTAGGGCAGCCGGTAGAGGTTCAGTAGTGTGTAACAGTACAATATAATACTAGTGAAATGATAGAATCAAACAATTACAATGGTGCTGCTGGCCTTATCTGACTACCCTAGACTAAGTATATGAGGAGCAAAACTGTCCAGTGTTATAAATGTCAGATACTGCATTCAAGTATATGGGTCATGAGTCAATCAATTATGTGCACAGCAGAGAACACACACATTGATGTGGTTCATTTAAGCCACAAGTTAAAATGTTGTCTTTCTGAGAACTGCAAGCATGGCATTTCTCGATAGACACATCATGACTTATTTTACCCATTAACTTTTTCTTATCATAACAGTTAGTGATTTGAATAGTCCATTAATTATAAAACACGTATATGTTAAATGTTAATGTAATTTTTTGGACATCCTATTTTGAGTTTATAACATAATATATGTTTATGATAAAGTGTGTGTCTACTTGCTAAAATCAAGATAGAACTGAAAAATAAATGCAACAATCGTGCAATTTAAAAATGACAATTCATATTTCCTCACAGCTTTTGGCTGAGGTTAAAACTAAAATCAGAAAACACAAACCTTTTTCCTTTTGTATCTCTTACCAGCTTCCTATCTCTACGTGCTATAATAACCACTCTCCCTGGCTCAGTCATCCAGGAGTGATAGCGATGTGGAAGGTAGTCATTGCCACCATATATGTCTTGTGATATGGCCATCACGTCATCGTAATCCTCTGGTCTGGCCAGACAGAAGGTCAGTCCTTCACTTTCACCCACACAATGTGAATCCATTGATAATTCTGCACAGGTTAACTGGATTCTAAAACACAGATATGTGTGTGTGTGTGTGTGTCTAGTTCCAGTAACAAATAAAAACAGATTAAAACAACAACAATATATTATATTAAAAATATAAAATACATAATATATTAAAAATTAAAAAACATAATTTTATCGAATGAAACGATTAGCATAAATATTTCAAACCAAACCAGATGCAATCTACTTAGCCTATGTAGTAACAATTTATGAGACCATTTAATGCTATTACTGTGGATAACATTAAGCAAAAACTTAAAGGGGTCATATGATGCCGCTAAAAAGAACATTATTTATGCACCAAGAGCTTGTAACACTTCAAAGAGAAAGGAAAAATTGAAATCGCATCATATGACCCCTTTAATATAATTCTAGTCTGGATGACAGTCTACTACAAACAAGAAGCTATTTGGTCTTACTATGATCATGTGGTCTGGTCACATTAACCACTTAAAGGACTGTTAAAATTCAACTACAACCATACGTCCTACTTTTAAAAACACATCATAAGCATGGCTAAAATAAGTTTACAAGCGACGTTAGCCTCAAATATCTTTATAAACTAAAAACGGTGCAGAAGATTTCTACTTCAGTAATGTGGTGTTTTGATAGGAAATGTGTTTCAGTCTGCAGGACTTACCGCGTGGCGTACGTGTCGACAGTCGTGTGATTTTGACGTTGTGTTCCACACAACCACAATCAGGATGTGACAACTTTTCCCTCGGCCGAACATGGACTTCAAACTCTTGCAGGCTTGTAACACTGTTTAAAATGTCCAGCCTTTACACAGTCTGGACATCTTTCTTTTGGCTAGCTAACAAGTAAAGCAGCATGCCATCTTTAACCGTATGTCAATAATTATCCAAACATAAGAGTGAATTTGGATATAGTGGGCACAAAGATCTCTGATACGTTTCGAGAATATTCAAAATTCATTTAAGAGATAAACACATTAGCCTTGTCGAGATACGAAATGAAGCCATTTCCTAGTTTTTCTTTTCAATAACAGTATCGTAGCCCCACCAAGCGGGTAGAAGGCGACATTGCAGTTTTGTTGAATAGGCTCGATTTAAACAAAAAAAAAACGTCTAAAAAAGTTTATGCTCACAGGTTAAAATGTTATGGAAACCTACAATCGCAAGCAGGAAGTATAAACCAGAACAAGAGCTAGATAACGGAAGCTACGGAAATGCTAAGATTTACAAAAAGAAAAAGAATAATTTTGTTTAGTGTTTTTTTCTTTCTTTCTCTCTTTCTCTTTCCAACTGGATAGTGAAACTATTCAAATAAAATGTATACCATGCGTAAAAATGCATGGTATTAAATATTAAAATTAATTATCCTTTTATTTCAGCAAAATTTTACACAACTTTTCAGCAAAACAATAATAAATTAATTAACATGCAGCATAGCTGTTATTCAAAATTATTTCAATTTGGCCTTGAAAGACTTGACTCATGACAAAAGACTTCAGACTTGCATGTCTGTTTGATTCTCACATAAACGTTTATTCAGTGTTAGAAACATGTATTTATTTTAAACTGAAAACAAAAAAATAATTTGTTTTAATATTAATTCAAAATATGAATTCATTCTTTTCTTTATATAATGCATTGCAATCTGCTTTAAGCTATTTTACATTACACAAATATGACAAGGTTCCTCTCAATCACACTGGAAACTAAAAACTACTGAAATGTTGTTCTGTAGTTTCTGTTGTTTCTGGCCTCAAGGGGCTGCCCTCCACATTTCTTTGCGGTAAGGGACTCTGTCCTAACAGGTGATAAACGTGTCCTTGATCAGTCATGGTACCTTGTGTCCATGGTTTGGGTTGGCCTTGGTAAGACTTCCACAGCCGGCCATAGAAAAGGTCTTTTTTGATCTTGGCATAAAGTTTTGAGGGGTCAAAGCCATTCGCAGAACTTTGAGAAGCTGGTGCATCAACTGATTCTTCAGCAAATGTCTAAAATGAGAGATTTACTGTTTAGAATTGTTTTATTATTGTTATTAAAATGTGTTAAAACAATATATATATATATATATATATATATATATATATATAGCTATTGTATAAATCATAATGTTGCCACAAACAAAGGTCATGAGAATTGGCAGCGCTCAAACTTTAACCACAACCACGTACGTTCTTAAGAAAATAGCAGGAAACTGATACCTTAAATGCAATCACTGACTATAATAAAGTGCATTTGAGACGGAAAGGAAATGGCCCAGTTAAAAATTCACTATAATGCAGTTCTCACACTTTTACTCTGCAGTATACCTTTTCAACTGTAACTGGTGTTGATGTTTTTGTGAATAGTCACATTTTGCATTTATAATGGTAGAATATTAACCACACTCATCTTAATGACAGAAAATTTAACTAATTTAATTTATTCATTAGATTTTTAAAAAAGTGTATCATTTATTTAAATTTCTTCTTTATAGCTGTTATGTCTTACCTCAGCCGGTGAGTCTGGCAAGTATGTTCGTATTTTAAAGGACTTCCTCCTGCAAGGTCAAATTTCCCATGATTTTTCTCTTGGATTTTGTAAATACGTTTTAAAGTGTTTAATATACAGGTTTTGCTTTGTTTTGGTCTTAAATATATAAGTATAGAAATATTAGTCTTTTATTGTTTTGTGTAAATATTTGTAAGATGTGACCTCTACCTTCTACAGCTGTTTTTTCTGCATAAATAGAAAAGGATGGTGAGGATAAAAAGGGAGAGAATAGTTCCAATGATCATTGCACCCAAATGTCCAAATAATCCCAGCCTTGGTTCTGGTTCCACATATGTAAAATCTATAATAATAAAAAAAATCACACAAAAAATCAAGAGTCCCAAAGGAATGGCAAGGTATGTATAGGACTACATGTGTACACTTTACCTTTGATCATAGACGTGTTCATTCTGACATCTTTCTTACTGATATCAGTGCACTGCTCAAGTTTCCCCGAAGGAAATGTTATGAACGCACAACAGATTAGCACGCTCTCATTTGATGCTACTTTAATGAGAAGGGATGATGATGGATGAGGAGATTTTTTGTTCTTGATCTTTACTTTAGTCTCATATTCTTGCATTATGTAAATTCCAAAATGTGGGTGATACGTGCCCAGTTTCGTGCGATTCGGGCCTCTTAGCATCTCCCAGTTGATTTGTGTCATGTTTTCGTCCCCTGAGAGGACACAGGTAATGGTCTGGCCATCTCCATCTCGACTGTGATTAATAGATACACCACTGTTTGATTTGCCTGTTAAAGAACACAAATGAAAACACACTGACAGAGATATTACATGAATCACTGAGACAAAATACTAAAAATACTGAATTATGAATGCTTAGTAAAGTTCGTTTAGTGTTGTTACTGATGAAGAAAAGCTATCACCAGTAACTCTTTATGATTATAAACTTATTTACTAAAAAACAATATTGCATTACCTTCTTTAAACATCTGAAGCTATTATGGAAGCTTTTGTTTTAAATGTAGTTATGAGAAGTGGTTGCTGCAATTTATATACTGCCCTCAAAAATGCTTTAGAGAGAGCAGCTAATGACGCATGTTGAAACTACAATACAAGCTGTGTTTAGAAGTGAAAAAAGAAACTTGCTCTACAGTAAAAATAAAAAAGGTGAAGAAACAGTTTTCGCTCAGTCTCAAAATGCTACTACATGTAATAAACATTTACAAAGAAACAGCAAGTAATTGAATTGGAACTGAATTAGAAAATAAATAGCACTTTCTTGTCAAATATACTACAATAATCTTACACATTTTAGAAAACTCCAAGTTGTTTTGTACAGTGTGTTTAAATGTATAAATTTTTCTGTGCAAATCAATTGTCAAATCAGAATAAATCAATATGAATTCTAAAAGTAAATTCTAAAAGTGAATCACAGGACAAAAATGAAATATGCTATAAAAGCAACCCATTAATGAAAATGTATAATACTATATAATATGATAATACTAAGGTACAATACTAAGTAATATGATAATCAAGTGATCGATGATTTGTTTATGTAAGATGTTATCAGTGAAAGTGCAGTTAGTAAGAAAGCAGTCAGCAGTGCGTGTGAAGGCCTTGGCGTATGCTTGTGTGAGCATATGCATGGTATCAGTATCGAGATATATGATGTCTTGATTTACCATAGAATAATTTTTGTCATTCCATGGCTTTAACCGTTCTTTTTCTGAATGCATAAAATAAATTTAGCATCGTCTACTCAAACTAATAACCACAGACTTTTTTGGTTGTCCATACACTTTTTTAAATACATACATATGAACGTTTTTTTTTTAGTTAATTCACACAAGATGCACTTACCTGATTCCAGGAAGGCAAGGATGAGAAGAGCGCAAAGAAAGTTGCTGCTCATGGTTGTCGAGCTAAACCGACATAGGCTTTCTCTTCCGCCTGTTTCCTGCTTTGTTTTTTTTATTTTGTTGTTATACTGACTTCACACTAGACCTCTCTCCCTGTCAGTCTTACCATCAGCTAATCTGAATGAGCCTTTACTTCATCTTCTTTCTTTTTTTTTCTTTTACTTTTACTGCCAACTCAGTCAGATCTTTGATGTCTCTAAGAAGGAAATGATGCTTGAACGTGGGAGTTTCCACCAAGCATATCTTTCTACCCAGAAAATGGCTGTCACCTCAAGTTTAACAGTATAAAGCAAGTAATGTATTATATGATATTTAAAAATGAATATGCAAAAACTGTAAGCAAAGTCATGCTAACCACATAAGCTTAAGAAACACACTAGAACAAGGGAAAAAAATATAACAGGTGGTAACTTTTACGTTTTGAGGAAATGGAATCATTTAATGGAAACTGCAAGGGCTGGCCAAATCAATGGAAAGATCCATCAAATATGTTAATGGAAAATACATCGCCTTTTATTTCTGAGAGGAGCTTTAAATCTTAATGTAATGATACCTTACTTGAACTGTAAGTGATATATCGCTGAGCCAGGAGCTTAAACAATTTTACTACAAGGTGACAACTGAGACGACCAGACATGCACACACATAAACGTCAAGCTAGGGCTGTGTTGACATTCTAGAGCAGTGCTTATTTTGTCTTACGCTCCCCACAGCCCCATTTGTAAGACTGCCAGTAAGACCCATTAACACCAAACCGTTAAGAGGTTCCTTGTAATGTTTATCATTTGCGCTTGTGCTTGTAAAATTACCAACACTGATAAAAATGATTCTAATACTACGGAAAAACAAATGTAATTTCTACATTAAATAATTTAGTTCAGGCAAGAATTAAAAAAAGAGTAAATTCTATATCAGTACTCAATTCAAGCTTGTAGAAATTAAAGTTTGAACTCATAAGTATATTTTACTTGGAATTGTTTGTTATGTTTACATGGATTCTTTGAGTAAATATCAAAGTTATGATACTGGTGTTCCCATGATGGGGCATGAATAATTAATAAGGTTGAATTTTTCACAGTTTTTGAGTTGTATTTACACTGCTTTATGGTTGCTTTTGTTGTTAGGTTTAGTAACTTGCTGTTTTGTGACATTAATTTTCTACTCAAAATGACCCATTTATACTCAAACATCCACTGATGTTAGTGTCATTGTATGTGTACCAAGTATTGAGGTCTCTGTGTTCATTTGGAAGTTTACTTTTGTGTAGACATATTATCTTAGAAAGTGTAATTAGCTGTCTACTGCCTTGTTAACTTAAATGTTTCTAAGTGAACCATGTGCTTTAATAGTATGGCTTTTTTCAGTGCTATGTTGTTGGAGTGAAGTTCACTAATAATGATTGAGTAAAATGTACTAGAGTATTGTAGAGTAAACTTCAAATGGTTGAGTAGAAATTACTCATCTAACTCTAACTGTTATTTACTGTACTTATTTTCTTTAATTTTACATAAATTAGTTAAGTAGGTTTGTCTCAATTCTATACTTAAATTTACTTAAAAAAATGTGTAAAACTTGCAAAATAAAAATTAAGTACATTTTACTCTTTTTCGGTGTAATTTGATGTTCCTGTTCAAAAATAACTGGCCTTTTAAAATGTGTTTGTAAATCTCTCAATTCTCATCATGCAATATTATCACCAAATCTTGGATTTAATGATTTTGTCAACTTGTTTTCTTTCAGTTTTAGCACAGGTTTTGTATTTCTTTTTGAAAATGATTGATTGTAGGTGAAAGACTGACTCACTGTGATTTAATTTCCTTTCAAGACACTTTGCTGTAACTAATTACCACCTGAAAAAGAAAATGTTAAAGGAAATGAGAAAAAGTAGGTATAAGGAAATGACTGGATTAGACGTTAAAACTGTACAACAATTTTATTTTGTAGCAATAACACTGAAAAATGTTGCATGTATCTGTTAAATGCAACATCATAAACTTTTTTTTTTTTTTTTTAGATGAAGACTGGATTGCATTTTAGGAGCCATTCAAATATTTCCTGTGAGTCTTGTTTGCTTAGAAATTAGTAACTAACTAGGGGTCAACTATGCAACTATATATTTCCCCATTTATTTAAAAGTTATTAATATGTAAATGGAGCTCATACGACAATGTAGACCATGCACAATTTCCAGCAAGAAAAGCAGTCCTCTTAGCAGGTCATTTAGTGAGCGTGTAGGTCACTCTGTCCTCTTGCTATACAGCCACCGTCCCTTCTCTCCTATAAATGGCCTTGGTCCTAATTTACACTCAGTCCACACCATGTGCTCTGTTGCTCGCTTCCTCTCTCCCTCTTCTGCTTTCTTACACAGACACACATATGCATTTACAAACAAACCTCTGCCCTGTTCTGACCCTCAACAAATCCATTTGAGTTATTTATGAGCCATTAACATCTGCTCCTCTTAAAGACTATTCAAAGCCTTTGGAAAAAATCTTTGGAACCCGATTGTCTATATACCATAGGAAGATTTGAACGAAGAACCTAGGATGGGTGCATACGTTTACTCAGGCACATTCGTTTTGGTCACTCTGATATTGTTGTCATGTCTATTCACAATGCTTTTAAGATTCTATGTGATTATGATTCATCTGATCAAGATTTTATTGTATTTTGTTGTAGTGTGCTTAAAATAACATCTAGAATTAACATAGTCGATGTCCCCCTGTAGCTTTGTGCTTTGTTCTTAAATCCTGTCTGCTTGATTATTTCCTTTCTATTTTTATTAGACATGTGCCTCCTTTTTCTGTAGCCTCTGCTTCTTCCTCTGACCCATTTTCTCTCCTACCGTCTCTCTCTTTCTCCACCCCTCCCCCATTCCCATCTGTCAGATGGACAGGTGTACATGCAGAGGTTTGAGCATAGTGTGTGGCATGTGATCCTATACTAACACAGTTTATTGCGGATATGTTGCTGTAAATATAATTTATGCAATGCATAACTGACCATTTACTCCCACACAGATGTAGATACATTACTTCTGCTTTAATTGATAGGTTTCGACAAACATTCTAACCACTGTCAGCATAATGTGGAATTGAAAACATCCATGCACTGCATTGGACTGCACTGTAAGACATTTGCTGACTCCTTTTTATCTGCAGTTATATGTAAATTTACTCAAAATCAATTTGCTCTTATCAAATTTTATAATATCTAACACATATACACATACAAAAAATACAAACACATACAAAAACGTGTACATGTGTGTGTGTGTGTATACATGTATTCTACTTCATACACACATATATATATATATATATATATTGAAGTAGAAAGACTGATACAGTTTATATACACACACACACAATATACTATTTAAGTCTTTCTACTTTGTGTGTGTGTGTGTGTGTGTTTACACTTGTTTATATTCATTTGCAAAGGAAGTGTTGCACAATGCATCCATGTAACACCATATCCATCACCCTACTTTTCTATATTCTGTGGCTCTGGAACACAATAGCATGTGTTTGGTATGTACACTGAGGAGAAAGATGAAGCCAGCTTATGTGCACAATCCAGTTTCCCCCACCTCTTCTCCTTTAACCCAGTCTTACTTCAATATCCATATGGGGTCTTACACCCTGAACCCCCACCCCCAATTCAACACACATAGACTGACCTCAGCCCCCATCTACACTGCATTTTATTACACTGCGATACACTGTGCTTCCCATCCCCCTCCGTAGCTCTGCATAGCAAGAAATAATGTTTGGGTAAATTCCACTCGGACGTTGTCTAGGCCATTGCCATTATATAATTCACAAAGGACCTTGTCATGAATTGATTTCATTCATTCATTCATTCACTTTTTGTGCGTTTTTTTTTTTGCAGGATTCAACTTCCTCAACCCTTTTTTTTCCTTTTTTAGATGGGCACACTCAGAAAGCAAGTCAAATATATTTTCTCTTTTCTCTTCATCATAAAATTACAGACAATAATCAAGGTGCTTAAGTAAACACACGCACACACATACATAGGCATGCCTCCTTTCAACCAATTATAATCCAGTGTTTCTGATTATTCTCTGGCACCTTAAATGTCACTCTTCCAAAAGCAACCACGTAAGACCAAAAATATCAGGAATTAATTGATTGAGTTGTGATGTCAGAATTCTAGACTCATTTTATTTAATCTTACCTTGATTTACTTAACTGTATTAGAGTGCAATGCATTTCTGAAATGTTCATTGTAATCCAAGAACAGGTGGCATGGGTTTAATTCTTCAAACCTATCTTTAGCAGCTGTCCATCCCTCATTTTCTGTTTAAAGTAGGCTTCCACCATTTTTACCAAACATTTGAGACCCCCCAGAGTTTTGAGAATTCCCATTGTCCTCTATGTGTTTATTAAGAAATGCTCATCTATAAGACACCGTATTGTTCTTGTGCAGCAGTAGTAGAATGCTAGTGGTCAGTAATGTGAGGCTGCAGAGACAGCTGCTTCTCATGTCAGCATAGTTCAGCGAAGCGTCTCACGTTCTCCATTTGTCATTCCCTGATACACTGACTTTCGTGGGACTGCATTTGATTCACTTATCTTATGCTATAATGCTCTTCTCTTTAGCTGCATGTTTGTTGCTTACCAAGCCAAAATGTTTTACATGATGTGCTGGCAGTGCTTGGGTTCTCTATAATATAATGGTGCAATAGTTTTTATGGATAATAGTGGGCCCAAGGACACAGTCTTATATTTTGGAATGGTTAATATACTGTCACCGTGCAGCACAGGGTTCATATTTTGTGCGGGTTGATTTTTGAGCCCATCAATAAGACAATAGCCCCATCAACAAAATCCTTATGGAACAAAACCAATCATGCTTAAACAACAAACCTGATTAGTAGCCTCTACCAAGCATCCTGAGTTAAAGCAATTAGTAGGCTAAGTTTTATTAAACCTGCAGTTGTAAGGATTTTCTTCTTGGTGACTAAGGCCTAGCTTGGCAAGCATTGTGTATTGTCAGCTGCTTGTCCTGGTATTTGTCTGTAACGTGATTGGTGTAATGTGTAGGTCATTTTGAAAGCATCTGCTGAGCTTTCTGATAATACACATTGTGATGCATATTTAAAAAACTAATGTATGGCTCTCACTTTTTCAGAATAACATTCACTTCCTTTTTTCTTAACACTTTGAATTCATTCTATGCCTTGTTTGTTTAAAGGTTGTTTTAGTTTTTTCTTTTTTTTTCTTTCTTTTTTCTTTTTTCTTTGCTTGTTTGTTTATTGCTAATTGCAGTACAATATACAGTTAGGTAAACACACACACAAATATCTCTAACACTAAGTTTTGATTAACAGTTTGGAAAATAAAACAGTTATTCTAATACATCAATTGAAAACATCACTTAGCGCATAACATCTAAACTATGCTATTTAAGATACATTTTGTTCATTCTGATACTGCATTGCAACTAAAGCAAGTGGCTAAAACCTCACCAGTCCTTTTACAAATTCATTTGATCAACAAAGTGTTAGCCACAGGTCTTCATATAAAGCTGTTTGTTATCTGCCACATTTTCAATCTTGCAAATGTATTACCGCATTACATCAGTCGCCATTAAAGATAGAGCTCATTATGCTTACGGTGTTACAATGGTAATGACAAACACTCTGACAACATAAACACTAGTTGAAATGTTAAATGATTATGCACAAGGTAAAGTAATACAAAAACACAACAAAAGGTTGACATTAACCAAGAACCTCAAAAAGACTGCAGTGACTCTTGTTTGTTTTCCATCACATATTGCAGTCATAAAAAAAAACGAAAATTCTCCAAAAATTCCAAGGATCTCAATGAAAGATATACAGAATTTCAACATTTTGGATCTTGAACCTATGGTTTTGGGCTTTTTTGTAAATGGCAGAAAGTAAACATGACAGTTGTGTTTTCATGGGGTTCATCTGGATTTCTACTGCATTCAGAATGTGATATTTGGGATACTATACGTAGAATTTCTTGTCACACTTGACAGCAGAGACCAAGCTCTGAATTTAGATTTTATCTAGATTTTTACATAAATTATTTACATATTGTTTAATGTTACAGAAAAACAAACATTTACATGCAGTAAACCTGTCCTATACATATTAAACATACACATGTCATTGTAATTTAATGTAACAAAATGCAAAAGAGCATGTGCACATGGACTAGTTTCATAGCCAGTGGCATATCCATTACTTAAATAAGTAAAGGTTATTTCATACTATGCCTAGTCACACTTTAAACTGCTCTGGATCATCCTGGATGATCATTCTGGTTCATCCAACCATTTACAATTTCCTACTAACATTCATTGGTACATTTAACATTTAGTATAGGCAAATTTCAACTTAAGTTGAATTAATTAAATTCAAAGAATTGGGAATGAAATTAATTTTGCAAATAATTTCTGACATAGAGTTTACCAGCCAGGATTTGTACTCAATTTAAAAAAAAACAAAAAAGAAAGAAAAAAAGTACAAACTTCAAAAAACATAAGCAATAATAGCAAATTACAGTTTTTAGTTAAACCACTGTCTACACATAATGACCGCTGCTGTAATGTTGATTTTAAGAAGTGACAGTTTCTAGTTTTGGAAACATTTCTAAATATATATTGTATATTATAATATTCAAGCTGAGTTATTTGTTAAATATACAAAGAAATAGGTATATAGGGATGCACACAATTACAACAAAATACTGCAAGCAAAAAGAGAGAAAAAAAAAATTTTTTTTAATCCTTTCATACAATTAGCGAAGTATAGCCTATAGCATCTAAAAATGTATATCATGGCTAAAAAAAAAAGAAAAGAAAAAAACGATTTACCCTTAGCATTTTTACGTACCCTGTCTAGACTTTTTAATAGTTTAATCATTAATTCATTTGTCAATTATCACCAATTCCAATTTGACAGGTTCTAAATGTCAATATATTAGTACAAGGTCTTTGTGCTCAGTGTAAATCTAGTCACATGCTCATTGTAAAGTCCTTCCCCACCCACTCACACAACATGCACATTTCAAAAACCTCTCATGGATTATAAGGTTTTTTAAAAATTACTGTATTTAAAATAGTTCTGCATCTCTCACAATCTCTGAAAAAAGGACCAGACAAAGGTAACAAAATATTAAAATATTTTCCATTAGTTGTCACATCACTGCTTGAGAATAAGCAGTCAAATTGGGTAATAAAAAAATAATAATAAAAAAAAACGGAAAACAATTTATCATATCATCAAAATGCCTTTATAGCATTGAAACTGTATTCACCCTCTTGATTGACAGTTGGCCATGAGTTCTTTTTTAAAATCTCATTTACAAGCATTAGTTTCCCATCATAGGAGATTTTCAAATATTCTGCACAAACACAAAACATGACACCCAGTTTGTATCTAGGGCTAATGGGAAGACTCGAGTGAAAACAAACTCAACAGCCACTGCTGCATCAAGAGAATGGATGACATGGACATTCAAACCACCACCTTCTTGAGGTCTGTAAAAATCATGGTCCCTGCTTTGCTGATAGTGGTAAATAAATATGTCCATCAGCGGTTTCAGACAGGTACAGTGAGGCTTATTCAGACAATGGTCATTAAGTAGGAGCTTTATTAACGTCTATAAAGTCAGGAGCACACCAATAAAAATATCCTTGAATTTAAAAGCGTTACGCAGACAGGCCCACGCTCCTATTCCGATTACAAAAAAATATATAGCGCGATCCACTGAATGACCATGACTGTTACAGCAACCCACACTGATGTTTTATGAAGATCCCCACTGTGCTTTGGAATATCTACATATCTACAGTATAAAGTGCATCACATCAGAACAGCTAGATGAATGGTTAATCCAATCGGAGTTGGATGATTCTGACATGGCGTGAGATAAAACACAATTTGCACTGGGATCTAGTTGAATTTTACCTCCAAATACTGCATTAGATTTGTAGATTGAATGTAACAAAATAGCTTAGTGCACCACAGGTGAAAATACCTGTGTGATTTAGCCATTTCAGAAGCATCTGTGTATAGACACAATATGTTTTTTTTCTATGGAAAACAACATAGGGAGAAGCAGAGAGTTGAAGCTCTGATAGTGCAAATCAGCAATTTAACTGATATCACCTAGATAAGGCTTTCAGTTAAGCTTTTTTAACGTTCGAATAGTGACTTGGAGTAAAGAAAACAAATCTCCCTGGTGGTTTTCCCCTCGTTCACAAAACATACAATACACAGCTGATTCGAATACACATAAAGCCCTTCATAAACATTACAAAGCAGTCAGGAAAATGGAAAAACAAAAGATGCCACCATGAAATAACGTAAAAATCAGGAATAGGTACAGAGCAGCGTGGCAAAGGGCAAGGCTGGAACCCAGCCTTCTTATTTTAACCTCTCCTGCTCACTCTTTCCATGTGTCAAGCCGACGGGGATCAGGTGGAAGGTAAAGGGAGTCTGGGATGAACCCTTGTTCTAAGCAAGATGACACTCTCGAGATCCAGTTTCACTTACTCAGAGACGAGCCCTGAAACTTTAACTGGCCCACAGTCACACAGGATAACAAGTGTCTGAGTATATATTTGCTTTCGTATGACTTAGCACTCAAGGTATTACTTAAGTGCTGAGTCTGATAGTACAGATATCCTGCTCTGGGCTGGTCTATCTCTGTTGTCCTCCTAAATAGTGGGTTGAGGCTAATTACCAATACAAGGCCTCTCTTGCTAAAGACAATTTCCCTTTTTTGTCACAAATACAGCGCTCCAAATAATTCCATGTCTTAACTGTTGTCGTCTTTACAATACAAAATGAACATTTACTCATTTTTAGAGTGGGAACACTATCTGGATCACATGTCCTTTCCTCGCCACCTATTCCTAGTATAGCCCCGGCTTCATCTCTCATCTCCCTCTGCAACCTGTCTTATTTTTCCATTCCATAAAAAGAAAGTGAAAAGCCACTTCATAATTCAAAGAAATGGGTTTAAAGTTCGCTCCTCGCGTGCCAGCGAAACAAGGGGCAACGTATCCTTTACATCACTCCACCATCAGGCGGTCACATGCCTCTAACCTTTTATAGTCTCGTGGACCTGGCACTAGGACCTGTGTAAAATATAGAGTTACAACCTCCTGCACAATTCACAAATACTCAGAAAGGCAATTAGATATCCAAAGTGCTAAAAGGCGGAGCTGAAAGATAGAAACAATAAATAAAAGAGATAAAGTCTTAAAAGATTACTGGATTACCAAATGTCACACAAAAGAAAGTAACAGCTAAATATAGAGGCTAGTGTACCTAGGGAACCTGCCACCTCTAAGGTAAACCGACATAATACATAACACTTAAATCTAAATGCACTGTGCTATGTACAACAGAAAACACATACCAAACACATTTTGGGTCTCTAATCCATCATGTCGCATTTTGACGAGTGCTTTAGAGGCAAATTAAAAATAGCATCTCTTGACTCTAACATCATTTGTAGCTTTTTGAAGGCCTGTATTTCAATTGAGAAGATGTCATTTTCATGGGAAACTGAAGCATTAATGTTTCTTTTGTCTAGTTTGAAACCGATTTCCTCTGAAAGCTTGTAGCAGACATTAAGGATTTCGAGATTTCAGCCATAAAAGAACTTGAACCAAGATTCCCTTTTCAAATCACCCCCCCTTCCAAACGAACATATAAATTTATATATATGTACACCTATACAAATGCAATAAACTGTCATTGGAATTACAGTTAATAATCTGTAAAATGCCTTGACTTTCAGAATCAAAAAAGACTGCCTGTTTGCCATTTATAAATACTGACCGCAATACAAGTCCCACATGCAGCTGTCCAAATGAAGGAGGAGCGGAGGCCTCCTTTTCGTCAGTGGATGTTGAGAGTTCATACAAGGGCACAAAATAAGTCCACCAAATGAAGTCAAACTAGACACATAATTAGTCAAAAGAATAAAGAAATTATTGGCTTTAGTTTAGTGGATACAGATTTGGATTCAAATCTGTCTAACAAATTGTGGGTGGACTCTGAGTGCTTAAACTATGAGTTATATTACATTATATATTTTCATATGTATATATTAAGCCATAAATTAACCGAATTTGAATCTCATTCTGCCACAGTGCTTCAGGGAAAAGCACGCTGCAATCTGGGTTTGGGGCAAAGGAACTAAATATGGTTCTGAGGATGTCTAAAGGCTTTTTCTGTTCTTCTTTTTCCATGTTGGTAATACCTCACTTTACTTTCTTCACTTCAGGCCAATAGAAGGAGATGACGTGTCCTATATGATTTTATCCATTCTTCTCCTCTGATAAATTGTGTCTGTCTTTCAACTTCAAAAAATCTATTAAAAAACTTCAAAAACTCTTCATAGAGATGAGCAGTTGTAACTTGTTTTGCTCAGGTTTCCAATTGTCCTCATTTGTTTTCCCGATTCCGTGGGTGAATCACAAGAGCCAGCGTAAGATTTTCAGAGATGATCATTATTTATTTATTTTTTTTATTGGAGCACCTAATTTGGACAAATTTCCTTAAGATCACGTTTCTTCTGAATCATAAGTATACGATGTAACAAAATCACTACATAGTGATGTATCAATTAAATTAAAACAAACATTTTTTTAATGAACTACAAGAACATTTATTTAAACATTTATTTTTGTATATGTATATACACTTATATTTCCTGTCTTTTGTATTTAGATGTGATCCTGCCAAATAGTCCATTTATAATTATTTTAGAACTAAAATAAAAATCAAATGATAAATCTAAAACAATTGTACATGTCTGTTTCATTATTGGTTATTAATCATATCTAACTCAATGTACTTCTAGCAATATTCCAGTGTATTATTGAAATTGCACTTCTACAGTTAGGTACAAATACTGATAGAACGTCATTTTAGCAAACAGGTTCAAGTACTTAAAGCAAAAACTTGAGACTGTAATCTAAATGTATAAGCAAGTTCTTAGCCAGACATTTATAATTTGATCCCGAGTTTAAAGCACTGCAAAGTACCTTTAGAGGAAGAGTTACTAATTTTTCGAGGAGCGTATTAGAAAGGTGTTCAGTCTGAAATTACATTTACCCCATGTGGACATTTTTAGTATTTTCAAGTTAATTAAAATTCCCTTTGAAGACCATTTCGATCTCCATATGGGCAGCCTGTCATAAAGTCCCAGAAATGTTGTTTATTTTTCCTCTAAACACTCTAGCAGCTACAGTGCCACATTCTGAAAAAGCAACAGACACTAAAGTGAGATCGCTTTTTTTTTTTTTTTCATAAAGTGCCCTAAAGATTGTGCAGTTTTCTTTTCAACTCAGCATGAGTAAATATGCTTTCACTGTCAGCGATGCCAACAAATGAAAGGGCCTGGAACAATTTGGGTCCCTATTTTATATCATCTAAAACTGCTTCCCTCTTTTCCAGTCCCTGTCCTGTCACAGCGCCACTGTTTACAGCACTGCATATGGAAATAAATTAAATAACCTAAACAAGCGTCTACTACATTTATTCTAGTTTGTTCGCTTACATGCATTTTATTTGAATTAGTTGTTGTTAAAATAAATTAAATCCTATGAGAGCGTTTTTATTAAGCGGAATAGAGATGAAGTTTTTTCGTCCCTTTAGAGTAGATATATAAGGTGTTTTTTCTTTTAGGTGCCATGTTTGAGGGAGATGTTAAATTTCCTCTCTTTAATATAGGTTTGGTGTCTAATTTTAAGGGAAGGTGTTTCTGAGGCTCCTCGACTAAACGACATCAGACTCCACGACGCACTGCTCTGTGTACTCCTTCACCAGCTCCACTTTAAGGGACTCCCTAAAGAAATCAGCCATGGGCTTCCACAGCGCAGGCTCCAGGAACACCTGACACATGACGTAACCCTTCAGAGTGCCAGTGTGGCACCTCAGGTGGCACAGCAGCTGTTGTATGGCCAGCGTCAGGTCTTTACCAAACATGTCGATGTTGAGATAGTACCAGTCATCACCGATTGGCACACGGAACGGGAAGGTGCACAAGCTGGCCATGGTTGGGCGCCTGGCATCGTCAACCATCCAATCAATGTCCTTCTTCAGCAGGATGGCCATGTTGCTAGGCAGAGGCTTGAAGGGCTGCCAATCTTGAACGATGGTGGCATTGGGAAGGACACCCTGCATTAGAACATCGCTTAGGAAGAGCTGATGCACCTCTGCTGGCTCCAAACGGACCGGGATGTTTGTGGTGGACAGACCCTCCCCAGCTACAGTGATATTAGGCCCAAGATCAGCAAGGCGTAATTTAAGGTCTTCGGCACGGAAGCGCACCAGAAGGATTCCCTTCACATTTGAATTAGGTGACAGAATGAAGACAATGTGGCTTTAGCTGTTTTTTTTTTTCAGTTCTGAACCAAATGTGAATATTTTATTGTAAATGGTTCTTACCTGTTTGGTGATGAGCCGGTACTTCTGGAAGTCTTTTGGCCCCAGTTGGTCATCTCTTGTCAGTCTGCTGACTTTAACGTCGGGGTACTTGGACTTAACCAGTTGGGAGCACAAGCGAAGAAGTACCCCTGCCACACCTTTCCCCCTCTCCTGTGGGGCAACACGAAGCCCTTCCACCAGCATGGTCTCGCCATCATCGATAACACACACTGACTCCAGTGCAATCTGGAAAATGTAGTTGCATAAAAAGCAAGCTATATCTACAATAGAGGAAAGAGAGAGTTTTATGGTGCTCTTTTGTCATTTCTGTCAGTTTCATTTTGGGATGCACAATTAATCAAAATGAAACTGAAATCGTGATATGGCTTAGTGCATTTATCACATCACACAAAGCTGTGATGTAATTAAAAAAAACATAGTCTGATGCTCTGCATGTTTCCCAGTGAACTGTAGAATTGTGTTCATTCATGATCTGATATTTTCGATGTCTCAGAGCCACAATAAATGCTGCTTCACGTGAACTCCATCTCTGCACACGCTGCGAGTTTGTCACGTATTATGTGCATCTGAGAACACAATGTGCACCAGGTTCACTTCATTTTCGCATTCGCAAAATTTCCAAAATGCTTGGCATTTCGATCAATTTGTAATGATCAACCTGCTTTCAACTAAAAACAGAAACTTAAAAGTCTCTCAACAGTTGTCTGCCAAAATAAAGGCTTGATGGTTTACCCTTGAAAGTAAAGAAATTAAGACATAAATATTAGCTGTGAATATAAATTAATAAATAAACCTAAATATTACTTTTTATTTTGCTGTACAAATGTATTAGTACAAAAGTAATATATTTATCTTTATTTTTATAAAAATATAGAAATTATTATAAATATACAAATATTTTATCTATGACATTTATTATAAATTAAAAATGTAAGTTCTAATAAATCATTATTAGAATTATTATTATTATTAGGTGCGATTTGGTTTATGTAAAGAGTGTTCCTAAGCCAGTGTGGTGTCTTTGCTCTTTTGCATGATGTTTTAGCAGCAAGTGTAATGAGATATTTTCATGTTTTGGTGAAATGTTTATCATCTTAGAATTCCTGTATGTACCTGTATGTTCTTTATATGTTTTGCCCAAAATAAAGTCACATGGACTTGAATGACATTAGAATGAGTAAATGATTTTCATTTTTGGTGAACTATTCCTTTAAACCTCTGAGGATGGAACATGCACTGCAATAAGCTCCTCATATCCGCTTTCTTACCACTTTGCCTTGCTTGCGAGCCAAAATGACAGTGCGGTTGCTCTCTTGCAGCCAGGCTTGATAGCGGGAGGGCAGATAGTCCAGGCCGCCATAGATATCCTTGCTCATGGCCATGATGTCATCAAAGTCCTCCTCCGTCGCCACTGTAAAATGCAGCCCGGTCTGAGGAGGGGCCTCAGGGAGTTGAGAGCAGGGCAGGCTGTTTTCAATCTTCATCCTTAGAGCTGCGGTTGGACACGGTCAACCATGGAAAGAGATTACAATGAGATTTCAACTTCTATGATCTGTGACCCAAAAAGAGCTTCCATGCGACATTTTACCTTCTCCCTTTGTACATTTTGTTTCCTGCTTTTTACATTTCTAGGATGTCAAGATAACACCTTACGAAACGAATCGTGTGAGGGTCGTTATCAGCTCACTATGCAAGGTTTGTGCCTATGTCGCAGTGTTTATCTTCCCGTGCCAACATGCCAGCAGGTTGGCATCAATAGCGGCAACTTGTAACCGTGCCCAAATGCGAGACAGCCAACGCACATACACAGACATGTCCACCTCCTATTGCCAGAACCCTTAATCCTTTTTTTAATTCTCACTGAGCAGCACTGCCCTGGTTCCCAGTGGAAAATAAAAACATTTTTTGAAAGGACTTGGGAAATAATGGTGCGAGACGTCCAGGGGAAGGTGAAGCGGATGGGTAGGCAGATGTGTGCAGGCACGCATACATGGCTAGTGAGTGTCGGGGGATTGAAAGGCTGAAAATCCATGCAGTGGGAGCAACACCGCGAACAAGTCACAGAGCAAACATTGTTTGCACCCCCTTGGGCCCGTACCGGTTGAGAAAGCCCTGGTACTTTTCCATTGATGCACTTCTGTAATGGGAAAACCCTCAGTGTCTGAAAGCTTATTTGGGTTTGGCAAACATGTATTGGGCAGGACTTTGTGAGGCTGTCACAAAATCTATTCATTCATGGTTCATTTGCCAATTGCTATGCGATATTCGATTTCCAAATTTCCATGTGACTGTCTCTCGTAGTCTTTCATTTGTCCTTCAATTTATAATGGGATAGTTTGCATAAACTGATATTTCCATTGGGCTGAATCGATGTCTTCCCCTAGTTTCCCTAACCTAAGTCATGCCCTGTCTATGTCTGGGTAACCCTTATTAACCCCAAATTAATTTAGCTCTCAAAATAAGAGAACAAAATATCAAAGCACCAATTAGCAAATTCCATCAGGTTAGTGCAATCTGTGAGGCTATAACAGTCCCTTAATGAGGTCCAAACAATCCTTTTTAAAATGTATTTATTTTTTTTGGTTTCTTTAAAGATGCACGAAAATATACTCAAACCTTATATAACTATAACTCTTTGGGCGTTAGCACCAATGTGTTAATTAGTGTTTGTGAACCTGCAGATATTGTGCATGACATCTTCAAACGAGATGTGTTACATAAATGCAAAAAAAAAAAAATCCTTCTCTGCTGTTATATCACAGGACTTGTCATTTCTCCATGGGATAGACTTTAAAGTTGCCTCAGGCAGAGTTATTACAATTACGTCACATTGAAGGAGAGAATGAATGTGAAAATGTATAACATCAGAAGGCAAAAGGGTACTTTAAACATGCTTGGGGTAAAACAAAATATGAAGTCAAGAAAATAACCACATTGTTGAGTAGATCATGACAACCCAGGTGATGAAGACTATGTAGATGTAGTCAACTAATAAAGTTCTCCGTACTGTATGATTTACAGCTAACTGCTCACTAGAGATAACAACACTTCTTCAGAGAACCTGACCACAATATTTGTGGAATCTTCCCTTTGTATTAATCTTTTTGAAATTAGCGGACACTTTTATCCAAAGCCACTTATAGAATGTATTTAGAGTATACATTATATCAATGCATGCATTCCCTGGAACCCACGACATTGGTGTTGCTACCACTGCTCTATACTGTACGAGACACTTCCCATGCCCCGGTTCTGTGGTTATAGATCTGGGCTGGTAATGTCAAAAGGTTTTAAGTTCAGTCATCGCAAAGAGTGATATATGGACCGTAGGGAAGCACTTAACCCTGATTACTCCAGGGGGGATTATCTTTTTAATAAATGTATACTGAGCATTGCTTTGAGTGTCTGTTAAATGACTGCTTACTTAAATTACCACAACCAAGAAGTGATTATTACCCAGTTAACACCTGCTCTCACTTTCTGTTCAAACTGTGATACTGCTATGGTCAAGGTGGCTCTCATGAGATTATTGCACACTGCACAGCTGTAAGTATAGACAACTTTGGACAACCCCTACAATCTTTAACAATGATTTGATGGTGTAGTGTCTGACTTGACCAGAAATTTGGTACTTCTAAATACTGGGCTTCTATGGAAAGAACAGGTTCAGTCTGATTGAGCTTGCACTCATTGTAGACCTGAGTTTATTTTTCACTGCACACTGTGTTTTACTGTATGCCCAATGCCTTTGTCAGTTTTAACAAGTCAGGCAAAATGTTATAGCTGTTTTGCATCTTAACAGCATATTATGAAAAAATATGTCAGTCACTGTATAAAAATAACCATATGTAATATGGATATGGGTGTGAAAATGAATTGGGGGAGAATAAGGAACTTCACATAAATTTCACAAAGAATATGACCATCAAAAGGAGGCTGGCGTACTAAGAAAGTCAAAAGGACGTAAATGAATATATCTTTAAGGAAGGTTACAGAATGTCTCTGTTCTCTCTACAAGCTTATTGTGGAACATTTACATAATCTGAACAGATAAAATCCTATTCAAAGAAAACATTTATCCTTTTTACCAGCCCTTCGCTTTGAATAAGAACATCATGCATTCACCTGAGCATCAAACATAATATGAATAAAAAAATATGATAATAGAAAATAATACTGGATTTGATCAAATATACTGGGCCATCCATTTTCTTGCATCATATAATTAATTAATTCTTGTCTCATTTTATGTTCCCTTCTGTCTCAATCTATCTTTATCTAGAGGACAATACATTGCAATGCATTAGGTTCCCCTCCCATCGATTTGTTTATATAAATTCATTAGACCAGATTATGGGAGCTCAGAGGATAACCTTGAAAAATAATGTTGCTTGCTTTCATAATATTAAGATTTTAAATGCCTTCAATGCAATTCAGCAAGAAAGATGTTTAACATATAGATTTAGAAAGCAACCAATACATAAGTGTTAAATGCAAATCAACCTATGCACGATGTACTAGAGACTCAATCCTATTAAATAAGTTCATTCATGCAGTCTCGATCTGGTGTATAAACTGTCTTAATATGGAGCACACATTTAGGTCAGTGGCTAGTTCTGTCCTGTCACATGTGCATGATAACATAAGTGGAGTCAACACATACAGCAAGCTCTGTGTGAATATGTGAAGAGAAAGGTGCATAACAGCATTCTAAAAATACAGAACAGAATAGTTCACCCAAAAAGAAAACTTCTGTCATTATTTATTCTCTCTCATGTCGTTCCAAGCCTGTATGTGTTATTTTGTTTTGCGGAACACAAAAGGAGTAATTCTGAAGAATTTTCACACAGCTCTTTTTGATACAATGCCAGTTCATAGTTCATTTAGTTCATAGAACCAAAAACAGCAGCCCATATGACTCATAAGCTATATTCAGAGACATTTGACTGCTTTGATTTGATTTCCATCCTGCATATTTGAACTGGCGCATTACATGCACTTTACAAGACATATTAGAACCAACTGCATTTCGGCATCAGTGACTTCCAACCTGCCGCAAGGTTAGCGTTAGGGGTAACCTCACACAAAGCTATCACATGACACAAGGCATACAAACTATTTTTATGGTAGGGTTTTGTCCTTTTTTGGAGCATGACACCCACGGTTACTATGAATGGATGGAAAACAGCTGTGTAAAGATTCTTTAAAAATCCACGGAAAAAACAACATTACAACATGACAGGTTTGGAACAACATTAGAGTAGATTATGACCGAATTTTCATTTGTGGGTAAATTATCCCTGCATTCATCAATCATTCTTGACAACATCATAATGAACAAAAACAATTTGCATGCTTAAAACATTATTCTTGACAGATAAAAATGGGTTCCGTCAAATTCAGACCATCAGGACTACATACATCTCTTCTAGACATACTAGAAAAGCACAGAAGTGTGTGTATGCAATGAACTTAAATTGTGCTCATTAAATGCAGGACTGCAGTATGTGGAGCCACATTAAAAACCAAAAGTAGCACCACTAAATGGGCCAAGCATGACACTGGCACATGCCTCGCACCACTGCAGTAGCTTGCCTGCACACCATGTCCATTAATAATAGGCCATGCCATACGTCTCTCCTACTTCTCGTGGTTATGTCATGTACACTGAGGTATGGTGCGTCAGCATAGGCATTCGTGCCAGTGGAAAATAACTATGATGGGCCTGGCGAGTGGCGACTTCACACCGGCACAAACGTACAAAACTGGCACAGAAGGACATAAGCACATTGCATCAGTTAATCAAAAATCACGCATTGGCCTACATTCGACTGCAACATGTACGTCACGTATTCTACAAAGTCAGCCATTAACATTTCTATAAATATGATATAAATACAACAGATATACAATGATGTCTTTAACGAAGGGTGCATTTAGCATCTTTAAAGTCAACGCTGTAACGTGTTCTCAGCATCACTGCAATACGACCCCTATTGATTCGCCCCGCCCCCACTCACTCCAAATACAAAATTAAGGCAAAAATCTAACACAAAGCCTTGCTAAGAAATCTTACTCTTATAAGCGTGCAATACGTATTGTATATACATCCATATAATGTTTCGTTTGAGTTTAAAATAAATCGCCAGTAAATTCTAATATAAATTAATTCATTTGTTTTATGCATTGTGCATAACGTTTTGACACGTCAAGCAGGGAGGCAATAGACAGGACTTCTTATCCTCTAACTTATTTACAAAACAGTTCCATTGTTATTATTGGATTACGCGCTAAATTTGTCATCATTCCACAAATGTTGCACTACCGGCATCCGGCATTAATTGAAAAACGTCGCACGCACAGAGAAGAACAAACGCAAATAGGCTACTCGACATGAATGCCAACATATAACAAAACCTATAATGGGGGTCTCCGGCAAATTCTTTGCATTTCATTCATTTCAATTTCGTCTCTGAGGGGTATTAATTTGGGCCGTGGAAAATGGCCGTGAGACGCGAAAAAGGGTGAGAAAGACGATACACAGCAAATGCGTGATGTTCATGACAATTTGAAGACGCGAAAATCCAAGTACAATGGTTGTTTGAAGGCGTCGAGCCCTTGCCACACATAGACTGCACAAGCAGAATCCTTTCTAGCGGACACGGTAGATGATTTCACTTACCTCTGCGTCGTGCGTTGGATTTGTGAAGGATACAGAGGTCAGATTGACAGATGCTGAATAGATGTAAGCTTTCGTTGCACTGCGGTTAGATTGAAGGCAGAATATTTAGTAAATGCCGGTTCAGACTTACAATATATGAAGTATGAGGTCACTGTGAAACCCCTCCTAGAATCCCCATCCCCATCCCCCAGTAGGGAGCAGAGAGGTATGCCAACCCCTTAACCCTCTACCGCACGCATTATGATAGACCTATAGATATGCTGAATTAAAGAGACAGTGGCAAGGAAATGAACACAAAGAGTATGTTGCCATATGGCCACACCATGCGGTAGAGGGTTAAACATCACCCAATCATGATCGATCTCTCTCTCCTCTCTCTTTGCCTGCCTCTCTCTCCATTTCTCTCTCTCACTCCCAGTGTGTCCGAACTCTACTAGGGCTGCTCTGTTGACTCAGTGCATGCTTTGCTTCCCTTGGTTTTTGCAAATGGATACTGTACATACACAGCTGAATTTGAGTAAATGTGCTTTGCATAAACAAAAGAGATGGTACACAGGTGCTCACACAAGTATCGAAATTGGTGACCTTTTCCAGGTCAAAGGACCCTGTGGTGGATGGAAAGACGGAGCATGTTAAACATTGTATAAAAATTGATGTCGCATTTTAAGCCTGGTATATATAGTAGCTTGCATATAGGAAAGTATACAAATATTTATTATATGTAGTTGCGATGTATATTAAAGTACATTAAGGACACTAAAATAGTCAATATTGATGTGTTTATTTAAAGTCTTATACTTGTCAATTAAATAATATATTTTGATTAAATTAGTTTAAAGTAGGAGGAACAATATGACATTTAGCTGAACTTTTGCTGGAATACTTGAAATTGTTGAAACAGTTGAAATTGCTGAAAATGTTCTCACCCTCAGGCCATCCAAGAGGTAGATGAGTTTTTCTTCATCAGCGCAGATTTAGAGAAATGTAGGATTACATCGCTTGCTCACCAATGGATCCACTGCAGTGAATGGGTGCCGTCAGAATGATAGTTCAAACAGCTGATAAAAACATCACAATAATCCACAAGTAATCCACCTGACTTCAGTCTATCAATTAATGTCTTGTGAAGTGAAAAGCTGTGTGTTTTTAATAAACAAATCTATTATTAAGGAGTTTTAACTTTAAACCAGGAGTGTCAAACTCAGTTCCTGAAAGGCCACAGCCCTGCTCCAAGACACATACCATGTCGTTTTCAAATAAGCCTAACGGACTTGATTAGCTGGATCAGGTGTGTTTCATTTGGGTTGAAGCTAAACTCTGCAGGGCCCTGGCCCTCAAGTACCTGAGTTTGACTCCCCTGCTTTAAACCTTGGTTGCTGGCCAAAATACCAGTCCATAATCCATAATCCAACAATTCCTCCAGTGAAAAAAACATCTCTCACAATTGTCCTCTCACATCAAAATGCACCAACACATTTACTTAGAATTGTTTGGGACTTTTCAATTGTAGGCTAAATGGTCCTCCATCTGTGCGTATTTCTCTCTTGATTTAGAAGAGACAAATTCTACTGGAGAAAGCAATATCATGGAAAAAGGACCCATATTTTAGCTGGAAGCAATAGTTTCAAGTTAATAACATCTTAATGATAGATGTGTATTACAAACCTTAAGCTTATTGTGATGTTTTTATCAGCTGTTTAAACTCTCATTCTGATGGCACCCATTCACTGCAAAGGATACATTATGTAACATATAGTCTGCTGAAGGTGAGCAGAGTTCAGCCCATGTGCAGTTTATTGAAATAAAGAAATAAATACAAAGCTAACACAACGATGATTTGACTAGAACATGAACTTGACCTTGACAAAGACTCACCATCAGCGGGTTACATAAAGCTAGTCAAGGCACAATAGAAACAATAAGGTTATATATACACAAGGACTAATGACTAAACAAGACAAACCTAAATGTAGTCAAGACAAAGAAACAATGACAAGACTGATAAAATAAACCAATGAAAACCAATTAATCGCTCTTGCGGTACTTTGATGTCATACACAGATCGGTTTGTGCAGTGCCGTTTCAAGTTGAACACACCTATGAACAGTGGAAGGGCATGACCAGATCACATGAGGGGCATAGGAATCATATGACATGACAGGAACCATGATTATAACAATACAGTACATCAAAATAAAAGACAAGAAAACATGAACAAAACTGAAAACAGACATGGTAGCTCCTGACGAGCAAACAACACACCAGTTTAAAACCAACAAAAATTCCAGGAAGGTGGTGGAGCGGAGATGGACAAGGGGGATGGATAGGGGGCCAGGTTCATGAAGAAAAAGTGGGCCTGGATCAGTAGTGGTGGGCCTGGGTGATTGGGCAGTGGCAGAGACTATGGAGGATCAGGTGGAGATGGTGGAGCCAGTAGAGATAGAAAACATCAAGGTGGAGCAGGTGGAGGAGATGACCACCATAATGGAGCAGAAAACCACTGGAGATCAGGAGGCAATGGCAGAGCTGAAACAAGGAAGGCCTTTTTTCACATACAATAATTGGTGGATCCCATGCAGTACTACCAAGAACCCCCTTACACACTGTTTTAAGGTCCACTGATGTAGTGCTGTGTTTTATGAAGGCACATATGGGCTTATTATTTTTCCATTTGGCTAACTACTTTGTTTATAAATTAAACATGAATTAAATATATGACTTATGTCATGTAACTCAGAAGACAAGAACTGTCATTGACACCAATGAAACAAAATATGCAATGCATAATATATTTCAGATTAGACATACACAGACTGGAAAAGCGGACAGATAAGAAATCTCTGTAACATCTAAAACCACACAACCAAAACAATGATACTCTGACCATGCTGACAATAATGCAAAATCCTTTCATCGCCCTTAGGGCAATTTTAACTATTAATAAGAAGTGCAATAGATTTCTTTAATATTTAGACATATAACAAAGGTTTAGTTGAGACTAATTACATTAGTTAAATGTGGGATTCTAAAAACAGATTTCAATGATTTAACGCAATTTTGTCAAAAGTGGGGGACAGTTTCTCTCAATTTCTCATTTCTCACAGCAATAAAATAAAAATATGTAAATAAATAAACTGTCGGTTTAACAGAGAGTGGATGCAATGAAAGTGAATGGTAACTAAGGCTATCAAATACAATCTTCTTTATCATTATTTGTATGTTCTTCCATTACGTAAATCCTAAACTACACAAATTATACAAAAGGACTTCTGATTCCAGGGGTTGAGTCATACCACATTTGGACAGCAGTGGTAAGTAAAATGAAAAGTCATCTATCCTCTTAAGGTTATAAAATAGCAAAATATGATGTGATATATTTATATGTTCAATATTTAATCAGATTGTCTTAAAATCACTTTATAAATCTTTCAACTTTATTACTTCATTTTTATGCAAGAATGACTGTGTTCCAGTTCATCATAAAAAAAAATACAGTTCCTAAACTGACATGCAATGTGAAGATCGACTTTGTTTCTTTGTTTTTGTCTTATAGTTATAAGGCATGTGGGGACAGGTTCCACGGAACCAGAGGAGAATGGCTTCATTGAAGATGAAGTAAAGCATTTCGATGAAAGAACTGCATTCAGATAATAGTTTTTTCTCTCTCTCTCTCAAATATTCTAACAATTTATCTGAAAGTATATGTAAGAAAATTTTCGTATATGCTCCTTTTAAAAGTTTTTATATATTTTATGAAATAATAAAATATGTCAAGGTACACATCTTTGCGTTTTGGCATAAACAACCCCAGTTGAACATCAACCCTAGTTCTAAGTGTTGTGGGAAGACATGCGGTAATAATACACACAACCACTAAAATCATGTCACTTAATCACCAGCAGAGGTCATAATCATCACGGAATTGACCCCATTTCCACTACAACATATCTGTACCGTATCTTTAATTTTCATGCTTTCTTTTGTATTCCATTTATCTTCCTTATAGTCGTCTGTTTATATTAAATCTGTCTACTCTTTATTTTTGATTATGATGCTGGAGTTGGATTAAAGATACTGCAGACCGTATCAAGAATAGTGTATTAATGCTGAATGTGTAGCGTATAGCATATATAACTTAAATACAAATTCAGCATGAATGCTGCATTCTTGATATGGTCTTAGAGTCATGTTGAACTAACGTTAATTCAAATAAATAGATGTTCTCAAAATGTTCACAAAACTAGGTGTAAAAACGGCCTATGATTAAACTTCTAAATAACGTTAGCTACAATTGGGGTAATAGGTTCTTCCTTCCTTCATTTTTTTTTTAAATAAAACTAAACCTCTACACTGGATAAAACCTGAGATGCAGTAAGAAAGACCCGAGACTTTTGGAGAACGTTGAAATTGAACGTTTTTTAAATATTGTCTATACAGTAGAGTTCTATGGGTAGCGTGGCCGAGCGGTCTAAGGCGCTGGATTAAGGCTCCAGTCTCTTCGGGGGCGTGGGTTCGAATCCCACCGCTGCCAATGCTTTTTAATGTGTGACGATGACTAGGTCAAAGTAGTTCGCAGCACTTGTGTACGGTTTCATAAACTATTTACAGTTCTCATGAAAAATACAGATTCCTAAATGTCTACATGTGGATGTTCCGACACAGGCGGAAGTGCTTTACCGCACTGATGAAATGTCGGATCAGAGTTGACAGATCTCGATAGAAATGTCTCATTATGCTAAATTACATACGAAAAAAATAAATAAAATAAAACAGACTGAATTTAGGTTCCAAATATTTTTGCAGTTCATTGCCCCTTTAAAAAAAATTCAACCGACAAATATACAGCGTGTGATAGTAAAATTAACTTTTGTGCGAGGGTTGAGCGGTCTCTAGTGGCGTGTTTAACAAACGACAATAGTAAATATAAACGTACTCTTGTACCGCTGACTGTATACTATATGAACGAAAGTGAGTGCTATTAACGAACGATTAGTCTTTTCTGACATATTTTCATACATTATATTTTGAATCTATATGTTGAATAAAACAAATGAGAACGGATCTTTGCAATCGGAATTGTGCAAACGCATTTTAGTCTCGTGGTTTTTGAACCTTTCGGTGACTCGTAGCGAGATACGG